GACAGCAGGGCCACAGCCTCTGCATCCCTGCAGGCTGAGGTCAGTGTGATGCCCTCAGCAAACACTCACGGGCTGGGCTTTTCACACACTGGGAAACCATCCAGTCCTAGCCCACGGCATCTCCAGGGAGCCAGAGAGAGCTTTGGGGGTGCCAGTTCTCCTTGTTGAGGTAGGAACTGGGTGTTCCCCTGGCCTGTGGTCACTGAGACAGCTTGATGCAGACCTGAGGTGGCCTGAGGTGTTTTCAAGGGGGGAAGGTCACCAGCTGGCAAAGGGAGGCTCAGGCAGGTGCCTTCTTTTGACTGCCATGTAGGAAAGACTTGAAAAAGAAAAAAAATTAACAAAGGATCTGGGCCAGGCAGCAACCAAACTACAGGAGCTACTGAAGGTTTCCCAGGACCAACTGGCCAAAGAGAGAGAAATGGTGAAGAAGTTGAAAGAACAGCTTCAGGAAATGGTACTGGTGGTGGCCATGTCCCTCCCTTTGATGCTGGTGGAGGCCCTGGGGCAGTGTGCAGCAGGCAGGGGTTTAATAGTGGAGGCAAGGTGATTCCTTGCTGCCAGAAACCATTTGGGTGGCTTTTGGGAAACGCTGAGACCACACGAGATGGTGGTCAAGGTCCTCCCTGCCCCACAGGCAGGACCTGGCCCATCTGTGACATGCTTTGGGCCTTGAGCTGCCATGGGAATAAGGGTGAGGCCCAGCTGGGTAACCCACTTCTTTTTTTGTTCTGCAGGGGAAAGAGGACAGTTCAAAGGAAGGGACTTCAGTTTGATGAGTCTTCACCTTGGACCTTACAGTTAACTTACCAAAATGCCTTACACATTCCTAAAAATAAAAATTTATGCTAAATTTACTGTAGATAAAAGATACAAGCCATTAGTGACCCAAAACCTAGTTTTGAAACTTACAAGAAAACATACAAAAAAAAAATCCAAAAAACCAACCAGTAAACACTGCAGTTTGTAAGAAAATCTTCATACTGTTTTGTACAACTCTTCGTTTCCTGGGGAGCTGCTGTGGCCACGCCGTGCACACCCTGGGGCTTCACCCTCCTGTTCCAGCAGAACTCACCAGAGTGAGAAAAGGGAAGACTGTGCTTGTACATCAACCAGTGCAATTATAATTATATATTTTTTCCTTTTTTCTTTTATTTTTTTTTCTTTTTTTTTTTTGAGTGAAAGGAGTGTGAAAGTAAGACCCACCATGGAAGGATGCCCTCTCGGGTGGGTGGCTCTTGGCACGTGTACTTCTGGGTGTCGATGCAATTAAAATGACATAGAGAAGAGAGCTTGTTCTTGCTTTATTTTTCTTGGAGGTTTGTGTTGGTGGGCTGTGGCGTCACTGAAGAAGGACTTTGCTTTGGCCAGGAGCTGTGTCACAGAAGCCATCCCATTTTTATTCACAAGCAAAGGAGAGAAACTATTCTTTCCCACTGATGGGCCAGGGCTGGCCTCCCTGTATGGGGTTTGGCAGAGGGATTGACACTTTTGCCATGGCAGTAGAGGCATGGTGGGGACAGGACCATTCCTCCTACTTGCTTTAAACCTTAGACCTCCTTTGTAATCTGTCCCTGTGGGTGCTGTGTGGTGGTGGTGGCCCTTGGTCACTGTCGGGCTCTCTAGCCCTCTGCTCTCCCTTCTTGTTGCTTTCCTTTTTATTTTTTTTTCCTTTTTTAAAATTGTTCTTTTATTATTCTTTTTTTTCCCTTTCTTTTTTATTTTCAGCTGGTTTCTTAGGAAATGGCAGAGGCCACGTGACAGCTTGGTGCGTGTCTCCCCACAATAAAGCTGCTGAGCCCAGTGCTGACATCAGCAGGCTTTGAGAGAGGGGAGGAAAAAAGGCCCCTCGCTCCCTCCAGTGCCTGCAAAGAGCCAAGGCCAGGAAGGAGGATGAGGGGCAGACCTGCTTCCATTTTGTTCCTGGGGAAGGCCAGTGCGTGACCAAGCCCTGCACTGCACCCCCGAGACTCCACAGGACTGGGACATCCTGTCCCTCCCTCGGCACTGTGGCTTTTGGGTGGGGGAGGGCTGTGTGTGACTCAGCCGGGACCAGGTAAGAAAAAGGGCCCAGAAAATGGGGAGCTGAGAGCCACCCCTGGATGTGTGTCCCCACTCCCTGTCCCAGCACAGGTGGCAGAGGGGGCTCTCTCCCCATCCTAGAGGGACAAACTCAGGAAGCAGACCTTTGCCCCACAGCCAGGGTTAGCCTGTGGTTTATCTTGCTGGACTTTGTGGCACATGTAGAGGAACACATGAGTCAAGGGCCACTGGTGAGCTCAGCCTGTCAGCACTGTCACCTGCCCCAGCCCAGCACGCCTGTCCTGTTGGATGGAAGCTCCCCAGAAGTGAGGGAATGCCTGCCTTGTGTCAGGACTGCACAAAACCCCCACCCAGCGCAGAGGCAGGAGGGAGCAGTGCAGCATGGCAGGGTGGCTCTCACCCCAGGAGCCACGGGAGGAAGGGCCCCGCAGCTGCAGGTGCCGGGAAGTGACGCAGTTCCTTTGGTTTTGCAGGTTTTTTTTTTTTGCTTTTGCAACAACTCTTTCCTTTATTGTGAGCTGCTGTGCACACAGCAGATAGCCAGGCCTGCCCACAGAAGCAGCAGGAGACCCCAGCACAGCCAGTGAAGGAAGAGTAGTCGGTGCTCCAAGGGCAGCACGGAGGAGGTTGGCTCCAGTGGGGCTCCAAAGGCTGCCCCAGAGCAGGTCCAGTGTCCCCAGCCCCAAGGGCACACGATGCCCTTCTGGCACACAACACCCAGCTGGCTGTTTCAGGAACACAGCAAAGAACTTCTTGTGAAGCAAAGCTGAAATAAAATAACTCTTTTTGGGGAAAGACATTCATTGGACTTTTTTACACCTGGAATGGTACTATTGCCATGTTTTAATTCCCTTGGCAGCTTGATGGAAGGGGAAGGACATCCTGAGGGGCCAGGAGAAAGCCACATCTTGCCCAAGAGCACACGGAGCTGAGGCCTGGCCAGCCCCTGCTTTGCCCACAGCTGGTGGGATTTTGCCACATGCCCACCCAGAGTCACCTCCTTTCCTCTGGGAGAGCCACCCAGGCTTGGTGCTTGCCAAGCCGTGACTCAGAGCAGCCCAGCACTGCAGGCAGGTACCTTTATTGATAAAGATCAAGAAGTTGCTCAGCTGGAGTGACTTGGAATAAGAACACTGGATCCTTCTGCTGATTCAGCCATGCCTGGAATTACCTTTCAGCCTGGATTCCTGGGCTTATCAAGGCACAGTTGAAGACATTCAATTTAACCCTCCCCGTAAATTACATTTACACTGCCTGCTGTTTACACTTAGGCTTGAATTATCAGTCTCCATTTCCTGTTCTCATCTTCTCACAGGCCAAATGGACAAAATATGGCTTTTGGGAAACCATTGCCTGCATGTGTACTTCAAAATTCATTGAGCAAGTCACTGCTGAGCTTGTGTGACTGAGCTGCCTCCCTCACCTCAACTCCTTCACCTTTTTCTTCATGTGCCCCTGTTAGGAAGTGATTTCCCCCACCACCAACCAGCCAAGTTACAGGAAGCATTCACCACGTTGTCTCTCCCTTCTTGTCTTGCCTTCTCAGAAGGTCTGGGTGATTTGGGAGGAATCTTAAAAACAGTCACAAGAGTTTCACCTCTTTGAAAAGCAGAACAACCCTGAGAGGGGAAGTTTGGCCAGCAAACCCACAGCACCGCAGCTCTGATGATTAAGAGTTACTGTTAGTTCAGGAGCACAAGGATCAATATACTTTGGGACTTCTTGTGAGGGTCCTAAAAGCTCTCCAACGGGCTGAAGCTACAGCACCACACCCAGCGAAGGCCCAAAGTGTCACCTCTTATCACTCAGCTCTGGGACTAAGGTACTTTGAACCCAAGTCCTTGATCCAAGGGCTTTCACATTGTGGGAAATGCTCTCCTACTGTACAGGTCTGAGATCCTTCCTCTTTTGCAGTGTCTCCTGCTCCATTTTCTGACCAAGAAAGGAAATCCCAGGCAGAAGTGACCACAGCATCACCTGGGCTAGATAAAGATGCCTGCAGCCTGGAGGCACCAGCTATCAGCTGGATCTTGGCTAGGAGTTGCCTGTTTGTCAGGCAGCACCACTCCCAGTGTGTCACACTGGTCTCCTTATCTCCCGGTGGACTTTGCACAGAGATCAGTACTGCAGACACCTGGGCAAGGAGGAGCTGTTTATGAGGATCATTACACACTTGGGTGAGGCCCCAGTTGACTGATAGACAGGCTAGAAGCCCCAGCAGAATCCAGGCCAGTTTGCTTTGCTCAGTATCAGGAAGCTGCACTCCAATGGGTCCCTTTGCATCAGAAAACCCTGTGCTCGCAGCCCTGTGACCCGCGTGGGTGCCAAGTCAGAGCAGTCAGTCAATGCCTGTCTTTAATGAAGGGTTTTAACCACTCAGCCTGGCCAGAGCGGGCACATGCTGAGTTAGGTAATGGCCCATTACTGCCCTGGCACTGCTCTGCCAGGAGCTGGGGGGACACAGCAGCTTTCTGTCCCTGCACAGCTGGGAGGAAGGGCCATCGTGTGACTGCCCCGGCTCCATGGGCCTGGCCAGAGAAAGCTCCCTCAGTCCTCACAGGGAAGGCAGTGCAGAACAAAAACACATGGCTGGGCTCCTGTCTGCTCCTGCAGACAGGGAGATGGCTCCCAGGACAGCCCCCAGCCAGTGGGAATTTGGGCCCAAAGCCTAAAGGCAGAAAGAGGTGCTGTTTGGGAGCTGGAGCCTGCAGCAAGCAGGGGGATGCAGAGCCAAAGAGGGGAACACACTGCAGAGACAAACCTGCTTTCCCCCAGATCCCTCCAGCTTCACCAGCTCTTCCTTCCAGCCTCTTTCCCCCCCATTCCTGCTCCCCAGAGCAGAGCAGGGCAGTTGCTGCAGAAGGCCCAGCAGCTCCCTCAGTGCTTACCCAGATCCAGCAGTGCCAGCCCCCTGCAGGAGGGCTGATCCCGAGGCTGGAGAGCAATCAGTCACTGACCCAGGGGAGGGAAAGCCCATTTATTTAGGCTGTTCAAATTTGGCACGCACAGAACATATCACAGTAATGCACTGGAGGCTAAGGGTTTTGGTTTTTTTTTTTCTTTTTCTCTACAGACATACAAGAAAACTCTATGCAACTCCCATGTACACATTACACAAAGGAAACAGCTTTAATCAACCACTGATGAAACATGGAAGCTTTTAAGATCTCTGTAGCTGGCACAGGAATGTTCTCTACCCCCCATACAAAAGGCATTTCAGGTCAAACTTTCTAGTAGGTGATATCTCCATGCATTTCTACAGAATTAAAGAAGCTAACAGACAAAAAGCCCAGATCAAGCCATATTAGTCAGGCTGATTGGTTCTACTAAGTTAAATCAATAGTTATTATGGACAAATGGACCAAGTGACCAAAGACTGGGGCTGAAAATACCATTTTTAAAGTTGTGGTTCCTTTTCATTTTACTACCCATAACTGGAGAGCTCTGCTATAAGAATCTGTATTTATAAAAGCCTCAGAAGCATCTAGTAAGTGTATATTGGAGAAAGGCAGTTCTAAATTAAACTGTGTCAACAGAAAAAGCAATTTCTATAGAATCACTCAGGAGGAAAGAGACCTCAAGACACTTCATAACAAGAATATTGAACCTACAGAACAAGTGAACCTTTAAATATTATTACTGCACTGTGAGTTTACAAGAGAGTGGATTAGGACTACTTCTCCAGAAAAAGTGTGTCTGTTTTATGTCTAGCTTCATAATTAGGCTTTTTCAGTACAGCTCTGCAACTGCAAGCACCAAGAATTTAACCTAGTTTTGGTGCTCACAGGTTGCTTCAGCTCAAGTCAAACTACAGGTCTTAAGTTTTGTCTTAAATAGTTACAGGGGAAAGTTTTCTAATTTCGCTTGTTACTATTTGGAAAAGCAAGAACAGGAACCAGATCATTCTCACCTCTCCACCTTTCATGATACACTGCTCAAATTTTTAGAGACCTTTAGTGTTAATCCATTGGGGATAGTACTGGGCTGGACAACCAATGCAAATATTAATACACCAAGATAAATCCTTAATTTGATTTATTTAGGGTCATTTTTACATACGAGCTACATCTCCAAAATCTACTTTATTCTACAAGACAGCTTCCCTACTGTTAGTGAAACCCTTGCCTAGAATGGTTGCTTTATATAACTGATCTATTAAAACATGGAATGCTTGTAGAGTTGTGGCACTGTATGACATCTACACGGGACTTCCTTCAAAAGCTACGACTAGGGAGCCTCCTAGCTTCTCAGCAATGCAAGCTCGGTTCAGGTCCTCTGGCCCATTTGCTTGGCATTCATGCTTTATGCCTAAAAAAAGAGGCAAAACACTCAATAATGCAGTATTTCAACATGCTGATAAGCAATCAAAGAAACATACCTGGTAGTAATATTAGAAGAAGCAATCCAGTCACTCAAGCAGACAAGTCCTGCCTTAGCTTAGGGAATTTGACGGTTTTTCCCTGACAGGTCCCAGGAGACATCTGGCTGCACACCAAATGTCACTGAAGGGACACGAAGGCAGAAATTTGTCACTAGCTCAGTGCTCAGGCTGCTGGCCTTTCACAGCAGGCTCTTAGAGCAAATCCCTCATTTCTTGTGCTGCCCTGGATACAGCAGGGGAGGGAGCTCCAGGCAAGCACATGGAGTAGGCTCACCCAGCTCCCTCTGCCTCTGCAGAGGTGGCTGAAAGCATCACTGCAAACCTGAGAGGCAGAGACTGAGAGCTGGGCTACCCAACCAACAGTGCTTTCTTTTAATTTTTGAGGCTAGAAAGCCCAACCCATGTCTGCCTTATTGGTGAAAAGCAGAATTTCCTCGGGATTTCTTTTTCTCAAATTCCACATGTGCAGCACACAACATTTTCCCATGGCAGTTAGCCATCCTGTGAAGGCTGGCACTGCTGCACAAAGATCCTGTCAGTCTTGCACAGTGCAAGATTTTGGCCCAGTGCAGCCTGAGGAGCTGAAGAGTGCTACCTGGCTATCAGCCAGACTGGCTTACTACAGCATAGTGAGTTTGTGAGACTGCATTTTAACAGACACAGGGATAAAAGTGCTCTGCCACTGAGGCAGCTCTGCACAAAATCCAGTGCTGTGTTATGAACCTTATGGTTTCTAGCCTGTATGGTGCAGATGTGCTGCTCCATATGGTCCATCACACATTGCAAAACCTGCTCTTGTCCTGAGCACTGTCCTAGTGCCTCTGAAATTTTGCCAGATAATGTAAATTTGTTCTAGAGCTCATTTTAGCTCTGTCACATGACATTTCACGTCTCACTAGTATCTCAAAAAAACAACAACAACAAAAAAAATCCCCAAAACCTGAACTAATTAAGCCTTGCTGTGTACTCCAGGGACACAGCAGAGTTAGGAACATTAGTTGTATTACATACCTTGAAACTTCTTTTTGATTGCATCCTTGGAGCTTGCGTAGATCATCTTACTTTTGAGAGGTGCTTGTTCTGGTGCCCTAGTGGGAGACACCACAGAGAGTGAAATTAGTGACACTGCTTATCCACCCCAGACAGAAGCAGTATCCTACCCACCATGGACAAGTGGAACATCTCATGGCTCCAGAATACAGCCATCAGGCTGCCCAGCTCACTTCAAGACTGCCATTTTCCCAGGCTGGGCAATACAAATGCCCAGAGACCTCACCCACAGAGCCTGGACTGCGTGCTAGGAATGAGAGAGTTGGGAAGGTGGCTTACCACAAGAAAAACATCAGCTCTTCTTTTTTGGATTCCTTGGTCTCGAAGCTTGCATCATACAAGGCATAGCGGCAATCCTTCTCGGGAAGCATCTGCACAAAGTGCTTGAAAGGGTCGGTGACTGTCACTCCGACATCTCCCACCAGAATCTCTTTGCCTTCCTCCACAATAATGCACTTTTTGTCTGGACTGAGGCAGAAGATGACAGCCTTCTTCCTCTTCTTGATTTCCTCCGGCGTGGAGCACTTCCGCACTTTCATGTCGTAGAAGATACGGCACACCTCATCGGCCACTTGTACTCCGGAGGCCTGCAGACACAGCAAACACCTTCAGCCCTTCCACCCCTCCTTCTCCCAGCTACATTGTGGCACTGCCTTAAATCCAAGGCTAGAAGACAACAGATTATTGCAATAGCCACTTGTGGCATGAGAGTCTCATCAGAGAAGGCTGCAGCCCCTCTCTTTTCCAAAGCCAAGGAAAGAATCTGGAGTCTCGCTGCTGCCCACAGCTGGCTGCCAACCCAAAAACTATTCCAAAGAAGGCACAATCCCACTTACACCAGAACATTGTTTTGGGGGAGTTTTACAGGCAAGCCAACCCCTTGTTCTCTGAGATTCATTTGTGGCAGATCCTTTGACATTACAGGAGCTTCATTTTCTTCCCCGTTTCAGGCTGGCTGGACAAGCCCACAAGGATCTTCTGTTCAAAGTTTTCCAGCCATTTCCAGCATGCCTGCTAGGAGCTTTAGGAATAGAGGTAAAACTGGCCAAATTCCGTATCTGTCACATGGACTTAGTTTAGAGAGCAAGGGAAAAGTAGTGGGGTACTGGGATTGCAATGGTAGTTTTTTTAGCTGAACAAACCAACTTTGGGAAGTTGCTCTGAATTCAGTATTTCAAACAGAATTTGCAACTCTTAACAGCTGAAGTCTCTTCTTCTCAGCCCCTATTCCAGCAGTTTTTAAAGCAAGCTCAACCCTTCTCAACATTTCTCCCCCACCTTGGAGTCAGCTGGGAAATTGTAGTGAGTGGTATCGTATTCCCCTGTGTAAGCTGGAACAAGAGGTGCACATGCAGCATTATCAACCTGATGTTAAAGGCAGCTGCACAGAATAAAGAGGACAAGACCTAGCAAGAATGACAAAAGCCTGAACTGCATTTTCAGTCTGATGCTTTCCTGGGAATAAGACAGAAAATAAAAGTGGGAAGTAGAAACATTTACATTTGAGTTTTGTTCTGAGACTGCACCAAGCTGGAAAGTTTAAAAGCAGCTGTGCAAGAGTGAATACTGCAAATGTGGAAGCCAGCAGGCACTGCTGGAAGGACATCATGGCCACAGCAGTAAAGACCAAATTGAAGCCTGTCCAGTACTGAACAACTCTATCTGTTCAAAATGCTACACACAGGATAAACAATGAGATTCCTTTAGAATCCCACTTCCTCCCTCACTGCTATTTTGCCTTCCAAGTTGAAATGACATTACTCATATCCATCTATCAGAAGGAAAACTGCCTTCCTCCCTCTGTGCAAACCACGACACGTCACTGCTGTGAGCACAGTCAGCAGCACCAACAGTCGGGTACAGCAGGTGAGACTCTCAACTGAAAAGAGTGAAGGCTGCTCGTAGTTTTTTTAAACTCCTCTTCAGCCCCAAAATGTGAGCTCAAGGGATTTCTTTTGCATTTTGAAGGAACAGCAGAGTTCAGCTGCAAAACCATTAAGACAGAGGTGCAGGGGACCTGCTCAGTGCTCAGGCTGTCCTTGAGAGATGGTTATGGAATGGACACCTGCTTTAATGTGTGGGGGTTTTTAAAGCCTTGATTAGTGCCTACCACAGAGGACCTCAGATAAGCCCAGATTCTCCTCTTTCTACCAACATCCCTCCTCCTGTAACCCTGGGTGGCTGCCATAGCCAGCTAACCCACTGAGGAGAGGTGGCACAGCTGGCACAATCTATTGCCATGGAGTTTGGCATCTAGAGCTCCCAAGTGCTGGTCACAGAAAACCAGGACAATCTCATACATCAGCAATCTGAGACAGCTTTTCTTTAGGGTGGAGAGCAGTGCTTTCTCAGGTTTACCTAAACACAGTGGGATCTCCCTCTAGATTTACAATGCATGGTCAGTCTGTAAGTGGTAACCTATGCAGGACTGCTTGCAGTTCCTGGGGGACAGAAGAGCAATTCAGTCACCGTGCCTCAGCTGTGTGGCAGGCAGCCATCCCCTCTGCCTGTCACCAATAAGGTGAGGAAAGTACATGGAGAAAGCCTATTTCAGGACAAATTCAAGCTACAGTGCAAACATGGACTCAAAGTGACTCATTCCAGTGTCACCTCCTCCATACAGATGCTGCACTTTGTCAGAGTGTGACTGAGCACTAATGAGGAATAAAGGTCCTTCTCCTCCTGTCCCTGTGTTAGGTGCGGGCAAGAGGCTCTTTGAGAAGACTCTAAATAACACAGTTAACCTAATAAAGCAAATAGTGCAGCAACTACAGCAATTTCATCAGTAGCTGGCAATGGGTAGCAATACTCAGGTTTTAGTCACAAAGTCCTCCAAGGGTCTTAGAAAATGCACAGAAAAGTCTGAACTGCCATGGAAATGAGGCTATTTATAATGAAAAAGCAGTACATGTCACCTACCTCTACCTCTGTCAATTCCTGAGCTTTGCTCGAACACTACAACAAATAATTTCCCTGCACCAAGTCATGTTAACTTTGAAAGCACAGGTTAATGCTCAGCTTGGAGCCAGAAGCAGCAGCCACAGAGCTGCAGGTTGATGCAAACTGTGCAGTCATGTGCATTTGCTTGTGCTACTACACAGCCAGAAACACGTCTCCAAGTCAGGAGACAAGTTGTTTCTTTAAAAAGAATCTGAACACTGCTGGCAAATCAGTTCAGATTCCAAAAAAGCAGAAAGTATTTAGACTGAAAACTCAAAATTCACTGTAAAACTTCAGCCGGTAACTGGGACTGACCAGAAGCTGAAGGGACAATAGTGGCAACTGTATTTTTTAAGCTTTCTAAAGCAAAAGGCTGTTAGTAGCTGGTGCTACTCCTTTTCACAGCTGCTGTACAACCCCTGGATTCATCCCACAAGCTGACCTTAGCAGCCATTGTGTTGCCAGGGACAATGCAGATTTGTTCCATCTGAGAACACCCTATAGCTGTGTTACAGTATGGGCTGAGATGAGACAGTGCAACAAACCAATTCCCTCTGAAAACAGGATCTACTGTCCTAACTGCAGGGCTCCCTCTTCAACCCTGGGCCTGTACCAGCCACAAATGGCTTCACAAACATACTTAAAAAGGAAAAAAACTCAAACCCCAGGCAGCTTTTGTTTTGAGGTAGCTGCAACCACTCTGTGCAGAACAGCAACACTATGACTGCTAAGAGCACTGGAACAAGGAGAAATTCCAGACTCTAAATACATGTCCTCAAGCGACATTTTAACCTCGTGTCTGCTGCCTTGTCCAGAAGAAGAGCTGGTGAGAAGCCTCCACCCTCCCAGTAATGACAGAGTAAACACTTGTTAGTCTGGATTTTCCCTCTTTGGCCAGATATGGCTCTGCTCAGAGGATTCAATACAGCACATTGGTTATTATTTTGTGCATTGTGGCTTGAACGCAGCAGAGCTCCAGCAGCCAGCCTGGTCCTGTTTCTTTTCCAGGATGGAAGAGTTACCCAGCTCTGGGCTGGCACATGGGGGCTGGTTCAGTGAGCAGCACATACTGCAGGCACTTGTGGGATCGTGACCATCAGCCAGCTGGTGACATTTCACTGCAGGGGACAGACCCTTAACTGCAACAAGGCAGCAGCAAGCAGGCAAGCCACCTAATTACCAGCTGGGAAAATGATGCCAGGATAGCACATTCAGGAAAGAAGAGACAGAACCAGTTTCTCTGAGGCAATCGGCACAACTGAGTTGTCCCCCAGCACGTCCATGCAGCTGCTGCAGACACAGAACATGCTGGGGGCTGAGCCCCTCACCCATTACCCCGTGGCACTTCTGGCAGTGTCCCACTGGCTGTCACACAGCCTGCTGCAGGCACCTGAGGCAGGGACTGCATTCACTGCCTTGTCAGCAGGCTCTGCAGGAACACAGCAGCTCTTGTTCAGAGCCTCGCTCTTGCCTGAAGTGCAAAGCTCTGCACGAGTCCTGGGAGAGAGAGCACAATGCCCTCCCTCCACCACGCAGCCCAAGAGGGAGCCTTCTGTTCAGCAAGCTTCCAACTGCAGGAACCAGACCCAGCTGCCTCCACCAAGAGCTCCCAACATTTTGCTTCCATTGCCAAGTAGCCAAACTGAAATTTAATCTAAATTGGGGAAGGCTGAAGAATAAGCCAAAGCTTTCTCAAGGAAATCCCCACAAACAGAACAGCCATTTCAGGAGTGAGAGACATGACAGACTCCTGATAAACTAAAACACAACTTTGACACAATGAAATTCAACTCCTCTTTTGTTAGGAAGTGAATACTGTGAGCACCAGTGTTTTTCTTGAATACTTAAAACATTTTACCTAAGAAGAGTCTTTGTTTTCCTCAACTCTAAGATAGCAAAGACCTTAAACTAATGACTTAGTTTGCCTCAAGACAAGTTTGAAGGGCTAAATTTGAGTTTATGTCTTGAGAATTTCAGACTGTTGGTTTTCCCTCCTGTGATTAGAGCCCAAGAACTCTCCGTAGTGGTGCCTGGGCATGCATTATCTCCAGAGACATTCCAAGATACAGTTCTTGACTTGTTTTGTCTGGGAACCACTCACAAACATTGTACACATCAGGGTGAACTATCCACAGCTACTCAAGTGGAAACTTTTGCTTCTTGGAAAAGCATCATCAATTTTTTCCAGAATCTGACACCAAGAATGTATTAAAGCATGCCTTGTTTAATTGCAAGGGCAGATGTGAGAACACTGTGCTCCCGTGTTTGCTGGTCACATTACTGGCATGTATTTGGTTCTTATTTCTGCAGCAAACCCTGTTTCCCTCATGCCTGCCTTACCCTCCCTCCTATCTGCCTCTGAAATTCCCTGCCACCGCCAGAGCTGCCTGTGGAGCCATGTGGCATTTCCCTCTGACTCACTAATGTGTCATAGTACATCTCTGCAATAAATACTTCTTCAATTAAACCTATTTCCACCCAATGGAACCCTTCAGGAACAGAGCTGTCCCCTGCACTGCCACACAATGGAATGCACATCTCTGCAATAAATACTTCTTCAATTAAACCTATTTCCACCCAATTGGTACAGGACAGCACCCTTCAGGAACCCTGCACTGCCACACAATGGAATGTCCTGGGCCACCACCAGCAACCTGAGGTGAAAACTAAGCCAAGGTAGATGTGGGAGCACTTGGCAGAAAGGGAGAGCAACAGGCCTGGCTGAAAGAAAGTTTTGCCGAATGAGGCCTCTGGAAAGGTGTCACCTAAGGCCAACAAGTCAACTGAAAATGCAGGCAGTCAAAACCATAAAGATATTAAATACTGCTTGGCTTTCAATCTGTTATCTGAGCACTCAAGAAAACACATCTGATGTTAACATCCCCACTGAACTGAGCAGGAATGGCAGCAATGCAAGGAGGACATGCAAGGAGCAGCTACTTTAACTTCATCCCAGGGACCAGCAGCAGAGTGGGAACACCAGTGACTTCAGGAGTCTGGAAAAGCCCACATTCCCTGCTTACCTACAGCTGGACAGAGAGACACCTCCGTTTACAGAGTACAGCCTGTACATCTGAAAGGCCAAGGTTTCAACTCGGATCTGAAGCCTGACAGGAAACAGAACTAACAGCTTTTACTACTGTTGTATAAGAGGCCATTATTTGCACACCATAAACCAGCAAGAAGTACAGAGTCATCTGCGTATCACTTGTAGAAATCTCTTGCCAGCTAGACTCAAGTTTTTATTTTGCATTATTTGGTCTCTTTTGGCAGGGAGAAGGTGTGCAGGAAAGAAGTGAAACTCTATTCAGCTTTTATTCCCCCACCCCCAAGAAGAAATGTTATTGACAAGACAAGAAAAGAGGAGTAGGAAAGCAATTATTAAAAAAAAAAACCCAAACAATCAAGAAAAAAAACCTATCCTTTGAATTCCTGAAGGTCATTTCTTCAGCTTTTAGCCAAAGAGGAAATTATCTCCTTCTCTGAGCCACTATGAAGTTCACTCCCAAATTATCAAGGTAGGCAGAACATGCAATACCCACAAAAGGCAATCCCAGCAACAGTACTGAAAAACAGGAACTGCAGTGGCCAGTAGCAGCAGGGCAGAAGTTTTGAGCAGCACCCATTCCTGTGTTGAAATAGAAGTTTTTAAGGTAATGCAGGTGGAAGCTGGTGTGTAACAGGACTCTTGCAGAAAATCAAAGCTTCTCAGAAACACATTCAGCACACAAATCAGCTGTTATGAGCCTAAATGCCTGTAAGAATTTTCTTGTGGCCCTCCAGGCACCTAGAGCAACCTAAATCTTAAATGCCACCCTCAAAATCAGGCTCTGAAGGCCAGCTCCGGGCATCCCTGATACTTGTTCCTGAGGGATCCTCCTCTCCTGAGGAGACTGCAGTGAATACTGAACAACCAGGTGAGGCAAAGGCCCAGAACAGCTTCACAGGCAAGTCCTGGTTGCAGTCAGGCTCTCTCACTCGGGATTGCTTAGGTCAGCCCTTGCACCCAGCAGGAGCCTCTTGATAGAGATTCTGCCAAGGCGAGTAGGAACACGCCAGACATCACCAGCACCAATTGTCATCAGGCTGTTATCTTGTATATGAGGCATATGTACCTTGTAATTACACAGATCTGGGAATAGCACTGACTAACAACCAAGAAAAATCATTTGCACGGTACTCCAAAGACCTTGGACTCATTTAATCCAGCAGAAAAGAAACTGAACATTGTGGCCAGACACAAAAGCTGAAAATCCAAGCTCTTTTGATAGCAAGGATGCCCTCCTGCTGGCACTACCATACTTTGCCAGAAGGCTTCCACTCTGCCCAAAACCCAGTTCATTTGCAGCCTCTCAAAAAAGCCAACCTAAACCCTGTTGCAAAAAGGAGATCACTATGAGAAACAGTAGTTTTTGACTGACTTGGGAATTCCCTGGTTCCAAAGCAGGATGAAGCCTGACATGCTGAGTAGTCACACGTAACTAGGTTTGCATACTGCAGAGGTGGTAGCTGGCTTGTTGAGACAAGCCTCTTTTAAACAAGAGCTGCGAGTCTCATCAGATTTTTAGCAGCTTCATCTGCAACTCCACGCTGCAGAGCAGCCACAGATGCTCCAGCTTGGGTGCTGGAGAACGCAGGGACATTAGTGGTACATCCTGTCTGCCAGCCCTACTGACCAAAAATCCATTTCCCGGATACACCACGTGTTCAATGAACTACTGGTAAATGCCAAGGGAAGGCCTCAATATTCAACACCTCTAATACAGGTAAACAACCCAGGCAAGTGTGTGCTGCTGGACAAGTGCTTGTGCATGACTCAAGCAAAAACAGGGCAGCAGTTAAAACTGCATGAGCTAATAACTGAGGCAAATTTGCCAACCTCCATCTCCTGAGTTAAACCGGGAGGCAAACTCTGAGCACGGGCAAAGCAAGCAGAATGAGCCACCATGAAACTGAACACGCGTTTGGTCTTTTCTGCCCCATTTACACAAGAAGAGCCCTAACACTTGTTTTTTATTTTAAAAGCCAGGAAACACAAGCAAACCGGTGCGGATCCTTAATACTTTTTTGTTTCTTTGCTTCCAGCGTTACGCTTTGGATAAACGTTTTCAGCATTGTCCAGAGAAGCAAAACAGAAAAAAAAAAACCAAGTCCTTGCAGCAACTACCCCAAAATTTCAGCTTCCTGGGGCGGCCGCTGCGGCACCCTGGTTTTTTTACCGGGTTCCACTTCCCCCTTTTGTCCGCACCAGCGCTGCGGGCTCCGGCCGGCGGGGGGCCCGTGCCGGCCCCGGAGCCGCCGCCGGTTTCTAGGCCAGGCCCGAACCCCCGGGCCGCGGGAAGATGGCTCCCGCCGGGACCGAGGCGGCGGCCGCGCTTCCTCCCGGGCAGGGCAGCCCCCGAGCCTCTCACCAACAGCGCCCGGTGCCTTCCAGCGAGGCTGCGGCCCCTCCGGGCCAGCCCCGGGCGGGGAGCGGCGGAGCCGCCGCCGCCCCGTCCCCTCCCGGCCGCGCCCTGCGGCGCCGCGCACGGCCCCCCCACACGGCCCTTTCCCGCCGCGCCCTCGCTCCTCGCCAACCCCCCCTCCCAGGGCCCAATGGACGCGCCCGCCCCCAGCGCCTGTGTGCGGCGCGGAGCGCACCACTACCTTACGGTGGGGGGGGGAGGGAAAGGAGGGAGGACAGTTCCATCGCTCCGAGGCGGGGTGGGAGTAACCTTCCGTCGCCTCATGGCGGGATGGGGGCGGGGGGGAAGGGAGGAGAACGGATCCGCCGCGTCAAGTTCAAAGGCGAACGGGAAGGACCGGGAGAAAGGGAAAGAGGAGAAAAAGGGGGGCACGGTATTGCCGGGCACAGCGGCGCTGCCAGCCAGAGCGCCGGCCGGGATGCGGCGGGCGGTACCGCCGCCCCCCTCCCCCCTTTTTTCCCCCCAGGGATGAAGGCGGAGGCGGGAGACGGAGGAGCCGGAGGCGCCCCGGGCGGCGCGCGGTGCCTACCATGGCGTCGGCGCGCTCGGCTGTCTGGGCGCGGCGCGGGCTCCGGCGGCAGGAAGAGCAGCTGCGAGGGCGCGAGCCGGGCGGAAGCGCTGCCGACGTCACGGCCGCCGTGCCCGGAGGAGGAGGAAGCGGTTGCTATGGCGGGAGCCCCGCGCGGCGACGCCCCAGCTCCGTGCGCACGCGCCGGCGGGGCGGGGGGGCGGGAACCGCGGCGCCACGCGGGGCCCCGCCCCTGACGAGCTCACCAATCACAGGGAGACTCGGGGTGATTGATGTGCCAGCCGGCCAATGGCGCGCTCGCTCAGCCGGGTGGGCGGGGCTACCTGCACCAAGGTGCGGCGGGCGGGGTGCGGGGCCGATCGTGAGGGCAGAGCTGGGGGGCTCGGGGATCCTGAGGGAGAGCGCGGGGGGCGCGAGCAGGGTCGGGGCTGCTGGGAGCGCGGCTGGAACGGACCGGGGCGGGCGTGAGGGGAGCGGGGAGCGGCCGTGGGGCGGGAGGAGGCGGCCGGAGCGGCGAGGGGCGGGCAGCCGGGCGGAAGTGTGGGAGTTTTCTTTTTTTTTTCTTTTTTTTTTTTTTTCTTCCTCCGAGGGTTTTTCACTACCTACTTTGGTGCGATCTCGGGCGGGCGGTGCTGATTGGCTCGGGCTGCTGCGGCAGAGCCCGGCGCTTCCCGCCGGCAGCCGCGGCTCCCGGATCCCGGCGGCGCAAACAACGGGCGGGCTTGTCCTGGGAACAAAGGCGGCCCTCGGGAAACCCTGCTGCCGGGGCCGCGCCGCTCCGAGCAGCTGCTGCTCCGTGTGCATGGCCGTCCTGCTCGCCCTGACCAAAATACTCATTCCTTAGCGTTTATGGCGAGGTTCGGGCTGCTTGTGATCAGAGTACAAAGGCATCTGCTGATGGTACAAAATGTATAGAAAGTTAGGGTTTTATCACCGAATCCTGGCTGCAGTGATGCTCCCGGCTTGAGTGGATGAGCAAAAAGCCCCCAGCGTCAAAAGCTTATTTGTTGAGTCTGTGCCTTCCTGTTAGAAAGAAACAAAAACAAGACTTGATGGTGGCGTTTTCAGGGTTGGGGTGTGAGGGAACAATACTTCATTACAACTATTGTGAAACCACTGTTAAAGGTGTGGGCAATGCTTACACACCTTACAGTTTTCATCCATATTGCTGTTCCAGTTAAAAGGGTGTAATTTTTATCTGATTTATCCCCTCTTTTGAGGCTACCACGGTAGATGATCTTTGTAGATGTTTTTAGGCCTGCTCACGTGAGGGAGAAGTTGCTGAAGGACCCCCTGCTGAAGATGGGTGCATTGAAAAAGCCATCCTGTTTCATCAGGCTCTGGTGCTGCGTGACTTACTCCTGCCAGAGGTTCCTTTTTTGCAAAAGCTCTTGCATCAGATTTGTAATTAAATTAGCAGAAAGGCCTACCAGCACGACTCATACTTTAACTGGCCTAAGAGGACAATTCTTCCCTAGGCCCCTTTCTGATGCATTTAGTCAAGGAATGCTTAAATTTTGCCCAAATCTTGACTCACTTTGGAAGTATTAACAACAAATAAACAGTGACGTGTCTGATTTTTTTTTCCCCTTTTGAAAGTTCTGAAACAAGTCAGATAAAGTGCCTTTGCAGCAGGGAGATCTTCATTCCTGTCAGCAAGTTTCTCTGGACAACTTCTGGTCCTGCCTCCCTGCTGTGATTGTGGCTTGCAGAGGAAACCAAGGCGCTGGTGGTCAGAGCCGTGTGGCAGTGCCACGGCAGACCTCCATCCCTGGAGGTGGGCAGCAGAAACCTGGGGCTTTCCAGTCGTAATTGATGTGGGTAATTGGCCTGTTGCTGTTCCAGGCTCGCTCTTGGTGGATGGGTTTCACTCTGACAGGGGGGTGCAGAAGTGAGACATCCTGGGGAGGAGGGGAGGAGATGATGCAAGGCCATGAGAACGGGGCTGGGGCTATTTCATGCTGTGTACTTATAAGGGCAAATGAGGTGGAACTGGCCTCTTGGCTCAGCCTGCTCTGAGAGGTGGTTTTGGAAACGTTGCAGTAGGTTGAGAAAGTATCTAACCAGTTAAAGGAAATTCAGCAGGGACAGGAACTCCTCCACCAGGAGAGTAAGAGAAAACTCTCACTGTTAACCTGCCTCATGAGAAAGATGTGCCTGCTCTGGGAAGGGCACTCACTCACCAGTGTTTAATTCCCCAGAAGACAAAACAGCATAGCCCAGTGAGGATAGACAACGCAGATGTGGTGCTTTGAGGCAGGATCTGTGCACCAAAATACCCGGACAAGTGTGTGGTCATGGTGGCAGCAGCCTGCCTCAGCACAGGGCTCCACAGCCCTGCTGTTCCAGCACTGGGAGCTCCAGCCCTGCCCTGGAGCTGCCTGCTGGGCATTACCAGCGTGTATGGCACGGCTGGGATCCCCTGCTGTGTGCCAGTCCTGTGCTGCTGGTCCTGCAGGGAAAGGGAGCCTGCTCCTCCAGCCCCGTGCTGCTCCCTGACCTCACAGTCCTGTCCTCATGAGCCTTAAGCATCACCCTGACCCTTTGTAGTGCGGGGTTCCCCCAGCCCAGGCTTGCAGCAGGGTCCTGTCAGAGCTGTTCCACATCTCTTGCCTTGGTGCCTGAACCCAGGGGGAGCTCCCTGGTTTGGGGAGGGCAGGAGGAAATTTTGTTTCTATTTCTGAGTTCCCCTCTCTATCAGTGCCAGCCTTTGGATGGGACCAGGACCCGGGCAGAGGTGAGGAAGCTGCTGACACTGACACCAACACCCCTGGCTTAGTGTGTTGCACACGCTGTTACACCCTCTGGTGTGTGGAGAGCGAGGCTGAAGCTGCCTTGGGGTGAGACCCCTTTGTCCCCAGCCTCTTAGTGCAATACGAGGTAGTCACAATGACAGACAGGAATTGCATGGTGGAGAAGAAGGGTTTTTTTTTACTAGCTCTTCTGCTTTTCAGCAGTGAACCAGCTTTGCCCTTTTTCTCCATACTGTTAGTGCTATAAATAATCTAGGCTGCAAGCTCAGGCTGTACGTTTGGATGAACCATCATGAAAGGTGAATTCCCCTCCTGCTTTTAAGGCAAATGGTATTTGCAATCAGCCTGAAACGTCCCCCCAAAAATCCATCCCTCCGCCAGGAAGGGACCCTAAGAGATTCCAGCAATCCTGTAGCTGGTGGTGACCACTTAGGTTCCCGTCAGAAACACCAGTGCGAGCTGCAGCTGGCAAATGTCTGCCCAATGAAGGATCGCTTCAAAATCCAGCATGCTCAATATAAAAAGTCACCCGTGGTCTCCATTTCCGAATGAGACCCTACATCAACATAAACCTGAGATCAATACATCCACTTTGCTGACTCTGTAGCTTTTGAGATGGTGACTACTTGCTTACTTTATATGCCTCAGCTATTTGAACTCCCCCTCCCGTCCTCCAAGCTACTGACTCATTTCCTCCTCTAAAACCTTCCTTTTTTAGCCTTTCGCTCTGAAGTATTTAGTGTCTGTTTTGAGCTGCATGCTCCATGCCTTACTTAGGCAAACTCCTACATCAAAGCCCTGCAAGCCATGGTTTTGCACCATGGAAATCGTTTGTTTTCCCTGATAGTTTCAGTCCTGAGGGGCAGCCTTGGCTACTGACTGTGCTGGTCGGCAAATTGCTGCTTTGCTGTTGGAAATCGGGGAGGCAGACAATCGGCAAAGCAGCTGGAGAGCTGAGGCTGCCGCTGCTTATGCTAATTGCTGTTGTCTCCCTCTCAGCCCCGCTTCCCCCATCTGCCTGCATCCACCTGCCGTCTTTTCATCCACTTCTACCCTGATGTCGCAGTTGGAGCAGGGATCACAGAGGCTCCTGTCTGGCTGAACAACCACAGAGCACCCCGACCCTGACTCTCTGTGCTGTCTGATGCTGCAAAGGAACCAGCAGTGTCCCCTGGTGCACCGTGGTGACCCAGAGCTTTGGTCGTGGCTGATGGATGCTGCTGTAACAACACTAGCTGAGTGTGCCTGAAATACAGTGCCTTTTTCTCAGGGCTTATGGAATATTGGCTCTGTGGTCTTGGCGTCGCAAGGATCAGCAAAGATAATTTTAGACAGGAACAGAAAGTCTCTGTAAACCTTACAGTCATAGCTATTTCACTGGCAGAAAAAAAAACCCAACAAGGAGCCCATGACTGTGCATTGCTGAAACATTCTGCTTAGCAGGTGTGCTGGAGTAAAAATGTAAAGGGAAATCTGGGGACAGGAGAATCTAAGGGTGATTTCCAGAAACTGCTGTCATGCTCCATCCCTTTTCTGAGGAGGTGGTGCAGCAGACAGGATGCAGGAACCAGAGCCTGATATTTTGTCCAAAGCCCTGTCCTAGTCCATGGCGTGAGTCTGGACAAGCTGCTTTTCCCCTTTACATTAGTTTCCTGTTTTTTGAAATGTTAACTTTGTTCCTGCTTTTTCAGTATTACAATTTGAGATTTAGTGCAGATCAGAGCTAGATGTTGCTTATCAATACTTCCTATTTTTACAGTAACGAAAAGGCTGTTCCTAAATTGTTACAGATGAATGCCAAAACTCGTATTCCCTTGAATTTGCTGTCAACCTCCACAATTGCTGCAGGTTGCAATCCTTCTGACTTCTGCATGGTAAGAACTGCAGGCCATCAGCAACCACACTAAAATTTGACCCTGTTTGCTGCTGTAAAACTGGGTGAATTTTATCAGCCTCATCAGAATTGGTCTGGATTGAGTGGGATGGGGAAGTTAGCTCAGTGCTTCATTACCCCCGGGGCATTTTCTCCACTAGAAAGAGGAGGAAATAACACAAGAAGGCAGCTCAGCAGTGGAACAGCTTCATGTTAATTTAAGTAAGCAAGAATGTCATCAAGCTACTCTCCTACCTGGTTGTTTGGGTTTTTTTTGGGGGGGAGTGGGGGGGGGATCGGGTCCCTTTGGTTTTGTTGCCACTAAAGCTTGTCTGAAATACTTTTTATGTGAGAATGAAATGCATCTTGCTCCAGAATCAGCTTAAGGGCTGCCCACTGCTCAGCCCTCACTTTAATCCTCACAACAGGCAATGTACAGAACTTAAAATGATGTGTTTCCCTTGATACATGGGAATTGGATCTTAAATCCCTGTCAGTCTGAGAAGGGAGGCTCG